AATCTCAAAACACCGATATAAGGCGCCTAATCTCCTACGACACGCAAGAACAAGATCGTCAATATAATCACCCCAGTATAAATTAGAAGACAAACGAAGGCCAAGAAGTATAATTGATGATTCTTTCTTAATGAATGAACCGTCTATCGTGACGGAATACGTTTAGCTTTTGGGGTCTGTGCGAAAAAAGTAATCATGAACATTTACTGTAATTTAGCGACATAAGATGTGACTGACACCATACATTTATACGATCAATATTTTCCTGACAGACTGACACTGAATGCAGATCAGAAACGGGACTTAACAAAGAACAGCCATTTGCAAATAAGGCGGATGATGCAGGTGGTACAATAATAGCAAGCAGCTCGTTTATGAAAAGTAAGGAAAGAAGTGGTCCAAGAATGGAACCTTGTGGCACTCCGGATGGAACAGCAATCGTATTTGAATAAGAGTTTCCGATTCGTACCTGTTGACAACGATTAGAACGATAACTAGAGAACCACTTAATTGCAGAACCCGTTACTCCAAGAGCGGAAAGCTTAGTCAGTAGAATCTGATGTGGTGCACGATTGAAGGCTTTTGCAAAATCAAATTAACAGTATCAACTCCCTGATCGAGATTGGTGTAGATAGAATGTGTGATGTATAGAAGAGCGCCAGCAGTGGACGATTTGGAACGAAGTCTGAACTGATACTGCGAAAAGAAGTTCTGTTTGCGTGAGTGAAAGATGAGCACGAAGAAACTTGAGCACAGAAAGATGATCACGGAAAAGTTGAGCACTAGGAATATGGGCACTAGGCAAATTGCGCACGAGGAAAGTTCAGCAAGAGGAAACTTGAGCACGAGAAAGTTGAGCACTAGGAAACATGAACACAAATTTATAGTTTATCCATTAATTTTTTTGTATCATAAACAGTTGAAAAAATATTAAATTAAAATATAAATATAAAATATAAAATTTTAATAATTTGTTGAAAACAAACGGTTGCAAAAATTTAAAATAGAGTTGCTAACAATTTAATCAATATATTATTAATTGGCATAGTCGATGTCAATTCAATATACTATTATATATTCATAAGTTTTTTCGCAATTCACTTTCACTTTTCGACTCACTTTCTCATTTTGAAAAAAATATGTCTACAGCAACATCTATATCAGTATCACGTACTACTAAACAAAAACCTCGTCTTGAACTCTAAGGTTTTTCGTATATAAAAGATCGATTTACTGAAAATAAAACATATTGGCGTTATATATATTATAATTCTCAAAAATGTCATGCTCGTCTTCACACATGTAATATTACCAATAATGTTATAACTCCACCTTCTGATCATACATGCAAAAGTAATAGTATTACAGGTGAACTTCGAAAGTTTAATGAACATCTTTGGTATCGTACAATGAATAAATAGCAAACACCTGATTTAATTATAACACATTGTTGTATCGGAATGTCGGACGAAGCATTAGCTCGTTTACCATCATGTGATAATATTAAACGTCGCATTAGAATGTTACGGCAAGATAAAAAGCCTGCATTAGCCCCAAATGATCCTAATTTCTCAACGGTTACAAAAACTAATTCATGTAGAACATGCAACACATGCTGATATTGTTCATATAAATCGTGGTGAAGCACCAAAACGAAAAAGTAAAACAAATGAACGGTTTGAACGACGTCTTTTAAATCTTTTATTGCATCCACATGATGATATTCTTATGCAACAAAATAATATTGCACATAATATTTGCTTAGAAAATAAATATTTCATTCTTTGTTGATCATCTGATAAAAATTTAATATTTCATATAATAGTATATCAAATAAACTGATTAGATTAACTTTCTCTTATTAATTACTTTTATTTAGTGGATAAACTATAAATTTATGCTCATGTTTCCTAGTTCTCAACTTTCCTTGTGCCCAATTTTC